TATTTGGCTCCTTTCATTCAGAATTATGAATGTAAAATTTATTCACTTTATTGATTAAAAAACTAGTTCATTCCTTTTTGTCAATGAATGGCATTCTATAGCACAAATATATCACAATTTGTTTTTCTTCTATTGACCTACATTTGGGTTGTTTCTGACATTTATCTTTTATTTTTAAAAATGGTTATGAATATTTTGCACATGTTTTAATGTTGAATGTTTTTATATCTCCTGAACAAAATGGAAATACTGGGCTTAAAGACAGGTATATCTTTAACTTTACAAGGGATTACCAAACTCTCCCAAAATGGTGTTAGGATTTTGCATTCCAACATTACATACTGTTACCAGAACCAGTGACACTCCAGGGATGAGGTCTCCAAAAGGAGGAGACCTCCAGCTGGCCTTTGGGTACTGAGTTCATGATGTTGTCACAAAAAAGAAGTTTAGGATGTAGCTAGGTAAAGGCCAAGAAAGTTTATTAGTAAAACCAAGCAAAGGAGAACCAGAAAGGTAATACACAGCCCAGACCTGGGTGCGGGCACATCTGACAGGTGCAGCAAGTGCTCTAATGTCAGGGGTTTTATGGTGAAAAGGTAGGGTGGGAGTTTGGTTCAAATTTACCTTAGGAAAAGTGCTCCTCTTTGTTCTGACATCTACTAGAATTAGTTGCTTTTGCTGTTACACTGTCATATTAATTAGGACCAAAGATTTGAAAGTTGGCCCGCTCATTAAATTTGGGTCACTATGACACAGATGTTTGAGCCTCTCTTTAAACAAAGGATGGGTCTCCTTTCAAGACAGGTGTCCATCCTTGAAATACATATTTTTCTTTGTAGACACTTTTTGTGTTCAGAGGAGTCGTTTTCCCGAGTTCTTTCCCAGAGTAGGTGTCTTTAAGATGGCCTTGCTCTGTTCTCAGAGCACACTATTTGTGGGCAAGTGGGCAAGGTCAAGGGGGAAAGAGAGCAGCTCTTTTTCCTTTTTTAGTATATGTCATAGCTTGAGGGAGCATAAGGCTTAAAGCACAGAAAGCAGTATCTACGTGATTTTAATCGAGCTATTCATTAATACAATGCTTATTTGTAAATTCCTTGGTGCTGTTTCCCATTCCTTAATTTCCCTGATCTAGCCTGCCTCAGTACCAACATCAAAATTGTCCCAGTCACTCATTTGTGCCATCACTTAGTGTTGTCATCTTTTGAACTGATCATTTTTCTGTCTTTATCATAAATGATTAATATTGTTGAGCACACTTTATTTATTCATTAGTTATCATCCCTCATGGACTGCCTGTTCAGAAATTTGCCCATTTTAAAATTGAATTTGTTTTAGTTCTTTATGTACTCGAGGCAAGCTGTTTGTCGATACATGATTTGTGAATTTTTTTGTGTGTGTGGTGCTGGTTGAACCCAGGACCTTGGTGATTCTAGGCAAGTACTCTATTACTAGCCGTATCTCCAACTCACAGTGTATGATTTGTCCTTTCTCCCGTGATGCTTGCCTATTCATTTTCTTAATGGTGTCTTGAGGAACCAAAGCTTTTTCTCATAAAGTCTTTTGTTCTTTAATCATTATTGATTTGTGTGGAAGATACTCTTCCATGCTTTCTTCTATATGCTTTATAGATTTGCTTTTTTACATTTAGATCTATTATCCATCTGGAAGTAATTTTTGTGTTTGGTATGAGCTAGAAGTATATATGAATATACACTTTTTAAAAATAGGGGCATTCGTTTGTTTCAGAGCTATTTGTTTAAAACACTTTCATTTCAGCATTGGATTGCCAAAAACTCAGTTGACCGTACATGTGCAGCTTTATTTCTAGGTTCTGTCTTGTTGTATTGATTTACTTGTCCTACACCAGTGGCACATGGTCTTGACTACTGTAGTTCTATCGTGAACCTTCAAGCTCAATAGCATGTATCTTTCCTCTTTTCTTATTCATTGCAATTTTGCCATGAATGGTGGCTCATGTCTATAATCCTAGCTACTCAGCAGGATCCAGTTCAACGCCAGCCCAGGCAAAAAGTTAAGAAACCATCTCCATTAATGGCGGGGCATGGCAGCATATACCTGTCATCCTAGCTACAAGGGGAAGCCTAAATGAAAGGATCGAAGTCCAGGCCAGCCTGGGCATAAAGCGAGACCCTATCTCAAAATTAACTTAAAGCAAAAAGGATGTCATGATTCAAGTAGTATGGTGTCACTGTTTAGCAAGCACAAGGCTCTGAGTTCCAACCCCAGTACTGAAAAAAAAAAGATTATTTTGACTATTTTAAACAAACAATAGCCAGGCTTTGGTGGTCCACATCTGTAATCCTAGCTACTTGGGAAGCTGAGATCCAGAGGATTAAGGTGGTTCAAGACCAGCCCGGGAAAATAATTCACAAGACTTCATCTCCAAAATAACCAAAGCAGAATGGACTGGAGTGGCTCAAGTGGTAGAGCACCTGCTTTGCAAGCACAAAGCCCTGAATTCAAACCCTAGTCCCACCAGTCTTACCGTATGTTACAATATTTCATTTTTTATTCCTAGCGTTGGTAACTTGTGTTTTTCTTCTTTGGTTTTTGAGACAGGGTCTCACTATGTATCTCAGGCTGGTCTTGAACCCAAAACCCTCCTGTTTCAGCTTCTCAAGTACTTTGATCACAGGCTTATCCCACCATTCCCAGTTCTGTATTTCTTGAATAGTGTTACTAGGATATAAACTCTAAAAGTTGGTAATGATTCTTACTAATTTTTCAACCAAGTTTTGGCTTTGGTAAAATCTCTCATTTTTGTTATTTACTGATTTCTGGTCTTCTTTGTATTTTTCTTAACCTTCTCTGGGTTGAATTTTTCATCTCTGTAGTTTCTCGAGGTACAAATTAAGATACGAATTTAAGCCTCAATTCTAAGCAGGGCTTTAGATGCAGCTCACCACCTTTGATGTGTTGTATTCCCAGCTAACCAAAGTTTGCAATCCCCCATGCAATTTTTCATTGACTCACATTGCATCATCATTTAATGATTAAATATGGCTTTCTAGATGTTGCATTTATTCACTCACTTACAAGTAGGTCCCCAGTAAGACTTCAATCACCTGAAACACGTGGACTTGTCTTATGAGTCATGAGCTGGTCATGTTGGTGACAATGTCATGTGCACTTGACGAAGTTGTTCGGTCTAGTGCTGTGAAAATGTCCATCAGGCTAAGGCAGTGAACACTGCCATTCAGATCTTCAGTGTCTGCTTTCTTGTGATGGGGTCTCGGTATGCTGTCCAGGGTTGAGTGGCTGGTGTACCAATGCTATCTGGGTTATTAAAAAAAAAGCCTGAGGAGGTATTAAAATACCAAAACTACGGTTGTAGTTTTTTCACTTTTGCTATGCTATAAAATTTCTACCATGAGGTATTAGGCACAGACATGCTTTCTTCCCGATGCCATGACCCACCCTCATGATTTTTTTCTTTTATTTTGGTGGGATTGGACTATGCATCTCTAGTGCATTTTGCTCTGGACATTTTGAAGATGGGGTCTCAGGAACTATCTGCCCCAGTGGGCCTGGAACTGAAATCCCACCCCCACCATCTCAGCCTCCCAAGTGGGCACTGGGATTACAGAAGTGAACAGCAACACCCAGCCAGTTTGCTCTTTTGGTATGCTAATATTCCTAACCCTTTTCTGTATGTGTGTGGTATTCTGCATGTGTGCACTTGCTAGATTATACTTGATTCATGCCACCAGCCCTTTTTGGTTATTTATTTTTTGGCAGTGCTGGGGTTTGAACCCAGGGCTTCACACTTGCTAGGCAGGTACTGTACCACCTGAGCCACTCTGCCCTTTCTGGTTATTTTTGAGACAGGGTCTTGCTTTATGTCCAGGCTGACCTGGATCAGATCCTACTTGTGCTTCCCCTTGAAGCTGGGATGACAAATGTGGACCACAACATCCAGCTATCAGTTGAGATGGGATTTTGTGAACTTTTTACCCAGGGATTACTTATTTATTCCAGAGATTGGAATTGAACCCCAATCCTTCCAATCTCTGCCTCCCGAGTGGCTGGAATTACAGGCAAGAACCACCAAGTCCAACCCACATAAAATCTCTTATTTTAGGGCTGGCAGAGTGGCTCAAGTGTTAAGGGTTCCTGCCTAGCAATCGTGACGCCGGAGTTCAAACCTCTGTACTGCCAAAAAAAGTCTTGTATTAACATGGTCACTCTATGATTAGTGCTTGCATGATGTATTTTTCCCATCCTTTTAACGTTTATGCTACTTGTTATTTGTCCTGAACAGTCACCTTATTCTCCTTTAGAACATTTTTAACTTTCTGAAAGAAGAAAAGCAACAAATAGTAAAAATTTGAAACACTGTGCTAATGCTTCACATGAACTTATTTTTTAAAACCATGAGGTAGGTCTTATCCTCATTTTTCAGCTCAGTAAACAGGTAAGAGTTAGTTTCAAGAATCTGCTCAAAGCAGTTAAGTATCAGAGCTAGGATTCAAAATGTATGTGATTTAGGTTTTCTTTGTATATACACAGTCTATATCCTTAAACACTCTTATACTCCTGTGTATTTTTAAGACTAGAGAGTGAATGGGAACTCACAGGATAAATCCTTCAATCTAGTTTTGTGACTAAAATCGGCAAGAAAAGATTGGGTAATCTACTTGAAAATGCAGGAGACCTGAAGGCTAAGAAAACTGAGAAACTGAAAAGCATCTGTAAAACCTCAAAAGCAAAGAAATCTTGGGTCATATTCAGAGAGGCAAAAAGCTTAAAGCAACATAGTAAGTCAGTTAAGCATGCTAAGGACCTAGTGTTTACCTTCTACTCAGATTATGTATTCAGAAGTACGTAATACAATACTTAACAAAATGGTTACATGTTTATGTCTAGGTTGAAAATGGAAATTCACTCAAGTGACAGTGTGTTGGCTGAGGTGGCCATATTGATTCCTGAGGACTTCTTCCTCCAAAACAGGTCAATAGACTTATGTTAAAGACAACATGTGTATTGAAAGTAGCAATTTTATTTGAGTTAAAATTATTTACAAAAACCCAAAGACATACTTCATGAAACTGGTACAAACTATTTTTTCCTGCCGTTGGCTTTTGCTCCAAAGATCACAGCTGAGAAATACTGTATAAAATAAAAATAGGATTGGATTCAGAAAAGTACTCTACTGTTCTAATTTCCAATTGGTAGTATTTACAGAAATATTTACAATGGAAAAAAAGGTTACTTTAAAACTTTAGTTAATTTGCAAGTCAGCCTCAAGTACCCTAAAATGAGAGTTCTCTGAGGGTTAAAACACACAAATGCACTGCAGTTGGTGAGGTGATGCTGCCCCCACCTTCCCCACCAAAACCTGCATCTCTCTCAGTGCTTGACAATTAGTTATTATTTAAAAAACAAAACAAAACAACTGTTAAACACTGAGGTAAATCAACTCTCAAATGATTACCAGTGTAACAGAAAAATGTAGTTCACCCTGATTGATCTCATCCAAATGTTGAATATTCTTTACCATCTGCCACAGTCAGTTTTACCAAAAATCTGTTCATTTCCCTAAATTCAATGATTAATAAATACCAAGATATTTAAAATAATTAAACAAAATATATCTAACTAATTTTAAGGATATCATTTACTGACATGCTTTTAAAACAGTTTGCTAAGTTAGTTTTATACTCAGGGCAAATATAATCTCAGTCTTTCCCACATTACACTGGCATACTGTATTCTCAAAAGGTGATGGGTAGGGCTTGGGTGGGGAGAAGGAAGAAAACAATTTGCCTGGCATCAGTTACTTCCTTATAGATTTCCCAACAATCTGCATTATCAAAAATAGGAAGACGAAAGAAGGCAGCCACTGCTTAAAAACATTACAGCTGGCACTGATACAAGAGCCCGGGTTCATCACTTTATACAAGGAAATAACAAAGTCTAACTGGGTAAAAATTAGACTTTTAGCTATTTTCCCCAATACACACCAAACTAATATTTTTATGGCTTCAAGTTTTACAAATCCAATGAAGAAACATGATGCAACTACCTAAAAGGTAATTAAAAGTATTAATGAAACAAACCTCTAGAAAGCCTGTCCTCAGACCCAACAGATTGAAAAAAAAAAAAAAAAAAAAAAGTTAAAAAGTATCATCAGTGGTCTGAGTACACAAGAAAACTTTGCAATGTTGTGAAATTAAGTCTATAAAACGTGTTCTGTGTGTTCTACAACTGTTTTTCAAACAACTGCTCTATGAACAAAGAATCTGAATGAAAAAAAGGGTCTCCACACCAGCAATTTTAAGGCTTTGTGTTTATGCAATTGATCCTGTCACTCTGTAGAAGAATATACATGCTATCTGGAAACATGAATTCCACATTGGTGTTTTAGCTTCCTTATATTTACTGTACTGAACATTAGAAAATATATCTAGAGACTCTCCCTTAAAAACAGTGTTTCAAGAGCCTCCCTAGCATTAAGTGTAAACTATCCTGGGTTTGTCTACTTTGCTTTAATCCTTTAACAGGGCACATCATCATACAGTATTTCCTCAAATTGTTACTTGTTTTCTTGTGTCTATCGCTATGACACATCATGGTATGATATTGAATATGGTTGTGGTCTTAAAAGTGAAAAATAGTTTAATACCCAAACCTAATCAAGAATAAAAAAATATACTATTAATCCCTTGTGTCTTTGGATTCCATCTAATTTTAAATATAGACAGTAGTTCAGGGAACAACAACAAAAAATTCACAAAATTATTAAAAGCTTTATTTACGATTGGAATCATTCAACAAAAAAGCAAAAGCAAATAAGCCTGAAAAAGGAACTAAGCTGCTGTCTAGAATGTCCTCAGAACATTCGACACCTCAGTAGCTAAGCTGCCTTTGCACCTGGCTGGCATGACAACAGTGGCTCAGCATACACAGCAGTTGCACTAACAGCAGCACAAATTTTCCCCTTAAAACTTGCCCGCAATCAAGCAAGAAAACAAGGGGGAGGGTATAAACTCTGCCAAGTAAGTGTATTTAAATACTGCATGGAATTTTTAACAGACTGAACCTTTTCCCTCATTTTTGATAGTTGCAGATTGATGTAGTAACTGTCATTTAGCAAATGCAGAATGCGTGACGAAGAAATCAGGTGGTCTTAAAAATCCAAACACCAATGATACTGATGAATGCTCTTGGTAATCTTCAAGGGCTTCTTTCGTAACTTCTCTTTGTCTAAGGATAGCTCCAGCATTACTGAGCACCTGAAGCAAAGGTAAAGCAGCTAGCAGTGTTCCAAATATTCAATCACTCTAGAGATAGATTTCTGGCCTGTTGTTCCAACAGCACACTGAAAGAGGAGGGAAGGATTGGATAACAGTTAACAGAAGTATTAAAAGTTTACCTTCTAAAGAAGTATTAAACGGAATTCTACAAATAAAAGTACACTGAAATTAAACTGCACTTTTGTAATAGAGCATTTTACTGTAATTAAGAATAATTATCATGAAGAAATACAACACAATTATTAAACTTAAATCCATGCCAGGAGTGGGGTGGTACACAGCAGTGATTTCAGTACTCAGGAGGCTGAGGCAGGATTCGAAAGTTCAGAGTGCATAGTGAAACCCAATACGTAGGCAGATAGATCCCTTTTTTCTTTTAATTACTATGATATGACTGTCAAGTTGATTGGATTGAAAAAATGCCTAGGAGATTCGTAAAACATACTTCTGCTGTATGAAATCTGTCAGTGTTTCCAGAAAGGACTGACTGGGGGCGGGGAGAGGCGGTAAGAGAGAGGGAGGTAATCCACCTTGAATGTGGGAAGCACCACCCCACAGGCTAAGGGCCCAGACAGAATAAAAAGGCAAAAAAGGAAAAAGCCAACAAGCACAGACATTTCCTCCCCCTCCTTCCTTGACTGCCATGAGGTGAGCTGCTTAGCTCCAATATGTTCTCCCTGCCATGACGGATTGAAACCTCTGAAATTGTGAGCCAGAATAAATTTTTTTTGTATCTTAAATTGCTTATATCAGGTATTTTGTTTACAGCAGCAAAAAGTCTGACTAATACACTATGGACATAGTATTTTTTATTTCTGTTAAGGTATTACACTTAAAATCATATGAACTACAATAAAAGCTACTTACAGTAAGATTCATGAAGCTTAGGAATTTTTTGAGCATCTCTGTCATTATTGAGAAGTCTCCATCTGGCAGGTATTCCCGCACAGTGGTTACATTGATCTGAGGAAACAGAACAAAAAAATATCAGTTAGCTGGCAGAAAATCTGAGATTGCATCTCATCCAGTGTTGCTGGTCTTGGCATACATCCTATGGCATGCTTCCACAAGGTCCTGGAACACCTTGTTTATTCTCTTTCTAGGGTCATTCACTGTGTGCAGGCACATTTATGCTCATTTCCTAACAACCCAACCTCAGAAAGAAAGGGAAAGGCAAAGCTGGCAAAGGCTACAAAGAAATATTTGCATGTATACTTACTTTTGGAAATGCAAAGAGAAAAGCCTGGAATAACATGCTGCAATGTTGAGAGAGAGAGAGAGAGAGAGAGAGAGAGAGAGAGAGAGAGAGTGAGTGTGTGTGTGTGTGTGTGTTGGGGGGGAGGGGAGACACAATGGCTTCTCTCCTTGAGAATGTGCTCATAAAGTTGTTTATTAAATAAAAAGATCAAAGAAAGGTTCTCATGCTTCACAAGTGAAATTATGTAGGACAGGAATTAACTAGATCTTTCCAAAATATCATCTATGATAATGAGATTATGGGCTAATGCCAGGAGAGATTAGGCATTTCCCTTTACTATTAACAAGTAGTAGTCAAATTATATATAAATCAACCTGGTATAAGGAAAATATTATTACTGCCTACTATTCAATTTTATTAAATTTAAAGATGATTAATTTGGTGCTCCAGAACAAAAGAAAAAGAAAGCTTTGCTAGGAAGGTTCGCCTATAATAAGAAGCCCAAAAGTATGTTCTCCAGAGTTTGAGGACACAAGGGGCAAAAAGAAAGCTTCCATAATTTGACTTTTGTTGATAGGGGCAAGGAAAGAGAGACTACATATTATTCTAAAGAAATCTGTCACCAGCCACTCCCTTCCTTGTATTCCTCCACTAGGATATTTATGAAATTATAAAGCAAAATAATGGGATCAAGAGTTTCAAAAGAGATCTAATAAAAACACTGCTAAAGTGACCATGTGCTGAGGCAGGTGGCACCAATCATCCACAGTCAAACTGAGCCTTCCCACCAAAAGCCATCATAATAGTGGGTAGAGTGATGGCTATGGGAGGGAAGGGAGGGGAGTGTCTCAGTACAAAAGAGAATAAATTATTAGCTTCTATGTTTTGGATGAAAGCCTATCATTAGTCCAAAAAAATTCTTCTCTTTCAACACACTCCAGAATGAAACATTTATATTGGTTGAGGGAATGAGAAAGACGGTTACAACATTTATTTTAAACAGTACAGCAGGTACAAAAAGAAAAAGCATGATACAGCATGGGCTATTTGAGAAATTTATTAAGTATCTGAGAGTTATGTTGGGTTTGGTAAGTGGTGAAGCAGTTTTAAGTTTGGGCTCTTGAGGTAGTAAACAAAGCCCTGATTCCCCTACTGTTAATAAGACAATGGAGGCTGAGAGGAGATTATCAGCAGGTACTCAGCAGGAAGCTGGTTTTGGTGGTACCATGCAAGATTCTAGTATTTTATCTACTTCATATACTGTTTTTGATGCTTTTACTAGGTTTTCCAATCTTCTTGCTCTTTTGGCTTCTTAATCTTTTTCCAGTGCTGGAATCTTGCACAGTGCCATCAGTAATTGGGATGAACAACAGAAAATGAGATCCAACTCTCTGGGGCTTTTTAAGCATGCTGCCATGAACCCCAGACAGCATTTACTTCACATGACTACTTTCTTGTCTATCTCTTCTGCAATGGGAAAACAAATGTTCTTTATGTTTGTTTTTGGTGGGACTGGGGTTTGAACTCAGGGCGTTATGCTTGCAAAGCAGGCACTCTACCGCTTGAGACACACCCTCAGTTCATTTTGCTCTGGTTATTTTGGAGATGGGGTCTTGAGAACTATTTGCCCTGGCTTGTCCTTTACATTTTATCAGCTAGCTATCTGAGTTAATTCTAATGATCTCCAAGGCAACAAACCTATCTGAGGCTCTATGAATTCCTAACATTTTCCACGAATTAAGAAGCTAATTATCTCTTCAGGGACAAGAGAGATATAGACAACCATAAATAGGAATTAACATGAGAAAGATGACCTAAGATAAACCACATGTGATGTTAACACAATTTCAAAAACTATTAATTAACATAAATATGACTGAACTTACAATATGTGCAAAACAGAATACCTAAAAAATCTTTTGATCTTTTGCTTTTGAGCCCTGCCTCTTCTTCCTTTCCTCTGTGTAGTGTTTCTCATTTACTCTTAATACCTTGTCATTAGAAATAATGAAGGCTGAGCCAAAGAGGTTATAGAAAAGGGGAATAAAGATCTTACATGGTCTGTAGGACTTTGATCAGGAACTTTGGTCTCAGCCAGGTATGGTGGTGCATATCTACTGTAATACCAGCACTTGGGAGGCTGAGGCAAGAGTGAACTGGTGTGCATTTAAGATTGACAATATAAATATAGAAGAGATGGAAAAGACTGATTTAGAAAACTGAGCAGGACCTCCTTGCTCCTAGGAAAAATCTCTACCCATTTTAAATTCTGGCTTTGTTGCTATCTTCCACTTAAAATATCCACCTGTGTCCCTTATTTACTTCTTCAATTAATTTTTTATTTATGTATTTATTTTCGGTACTGGGGACTGAACCCAGGGCCTTGTGCTTGCTGAGCAAATGCTCTACCACTTGAGCTATGCTCTCACAATGACTCTGGTATCTCCTTCATATACTGTTTTTGGTGCTCTCATTAGCTTTTCCCATGGCAGCAGCCTATCCAACAACAGCTGTAACCCTCCACTCTGTACTGACAGTCTAAGTGTCTGCACACATGTATTTCTCACAGGTAAATCTTGATGAATTTAGACCATTTTCCAAGCCTACTAGTAACTGGTTCAGACAAAAGGATATGGCCCAATGTTGGCCAGAATCATAGAAGTCTACTGAGTAAGGGTGAAGGGAGCAGTGTCTTCTAAAAACAAAACACATAAAGGAGGGGTACCTACTAATGCTGGACTTATTTCACTGAAGCCTAGCTTGCAGCCACTAGAGGAGTACTGTTAGCCAAGGACACAACAATATGTGCAGGAGAGCAACTTAAAGAAAGATCATCCCTGAATTAGACTTAAGACTCTGCCATCTTGTTTAACTAGCTGAGTGCAGGTTTTACAGTGCCCCTTCATTTACTTCAACTTTTGGCATCTGAATGGACCATTTATTAAATGGGAACTTTCCCATTAGACCTAATGAACTCTTACTTTGGGATGTACCTTGGAAAGTTCAACAAATAAATGTCTTTAACATCGTATGCTATCTTAATTTAATTTCACGTATGTAATTCTTTCTTCCTTTTATGCAAGATTATGACTGGCTTGTCTTTCATTATTTTTAATATATAAACAGCCTGACTCTGAAAGGCATATTGATTCTAAAAAAGCCACAAAAACCAACAATTCACCTCACTCCAAATCTTAACTCAGTAAAATCTATATTGGAAATAAAGAGGCCTAGTGTGTTAGAAAAGAGAAGGGAAGGGGAGGGAAGGGGAGGGGAGGGGAGGGGAGGGGAGGGGAGGGGAGGGAGGAGAAGACTAAATAATTTAAAGGAAATCACTAGAATTACTCTTATTATTTTTCTTCTGTAAGAGCAACAAATTGTTTAAAAAGAATCCTATATCCAGCCAAAAGCCTTTCTGGAATAAAGTTGGAGAAAGAAAAGGAAAAATTAAAGAAATGAATTAGGCAATAGTATTATCTATTACACTGTAATCTTTTAATGATACACAAAATATTTCTCAACTATTTACTTACTGGACTCTCCTGGCAGAGACACCCAAGAAGCAGTGCCGTGTAGGAGGCCACGATGCAATCCTCCATGTGCTTGCCAGCATGTTGAAGGGCTAAGAATGTTTAAATAAAGGGTTATAACAGTATATCAAATAATACAAATGCCACAGCAGAAACTAGTCTGTTAATTACTTTCTTAAAAACTGCTAAATGATCCTACAATTGGGCATTCAAAATTAATAAAAGTTAACTCAAAATAGAATAGGGACCCAAATATAAGAACTAAAACCATGCCACATTAGGTTTAAACTTTTGTTTGAACAAAGGATACCACTAATAAAGTGAAAGGACAACCCACAGAATGGAAGAACATAATTATATATTTGATAAGGGTCAAATATCCAGAATGTATAAAGTATTAAAATAACTCATCAACAAAAAAGACAACCAAAAACAAAACAAAACAAAAGACAATCCAATTAAACAGAAGGCAAAAGACCTGAATGGGCATTTCTTATTTAAAGAAATATACAAAAGGTCAAAGAGTGCACGGAGATGTTCTAAATAATTAGTTGCCAGGAAACTACAATTGAAACCACAACAAAATTCACACTAAGAAGACTAAAAGAAAATTTGAAGATGTGGAAAAATTGGAACCCTCATATTCTGCTGATGACAACATTAAATGGCACAAGCATATTGGGAAACAATGTGGCATTCCCTTAAAATGTTCAACCAGAGATAATGGAAAATCCAACAACTCCACTCCTATATATATATATATATCCATGAAAACACATCGCTATAAAAACCTTCCAAAAACTGTTCACAGCAGCATCATTCACACAGCTGAGAAGTAGAAACAGGGGCACAGCCATTCACCTCCGTGCTTCTAGCCACCATGATGTCAATGGCTACACCATGCCCTCCCTACCATAATGAACTGAAGCCTCTGAAACCATGAACACAAATAAATCCTCCCTTACCTTGTTTGCTTGGTATTTTGTAATAACAATGAAAAACTAGCTAACACAACTCCCAAGTGTGAGGTCAGGGAGGAAGTTTACAGTAGTATCCTTTAGAGGCCTTAGATATAAATATAATGTAATACAGTAAAAACTGATTTTAAAAAAGGCATATATACTTTATCACATTTCTGCATTGAGTTTGTTGGGGTGATGACAGTAGAAGAAGTCATGCTGCTCGTTGAAAAGGGTATAAAAAGGACCTCTAACCCAGAGCCAGCCAAAGCTCCTCTGGTTCCTTCTCCTATCCTCAACATTCCTATTCCCTGGTCTTTAACTTATAATTAAGAAACACCATCTTCTTCCTGATAAGGACTCCTCACAAACTCAAAAAAAAAAGTATTAACAACCCAAATGTCTATTGGTGGACAAATAGCTAAGGCAAATGTGGTATAACAATGCAATGGACTATTATTTGGTAATATGCCACAACATGTAGCTAGCTGGAAGAAGCTCATCACAAAGGACACATATTGTAGTTACTTTTATATGAAATGTCTGAAATAGAAAATCCAAAGACAGAAAGTAAATGAGTGGTTGTCAGTGGCTAAGAGAGGAGGAAATGGAGGTGATAGCTGCTAATGAGTTTTTTAGGGCTGATGAAAACTTTGGGGCATTAGACAGTAGTGATGTACAATTTTGTGAGTATACTAAAAATGACTGCATTTTTCACTTTAAAAGGGTAAATCTTTGCTGGGCACAGAAGCTCAAGCCTGTGGGATCAGAGGATCACAGTTCAAGGCCAGCCTGAACAAAAAGTTCTCAAGACCCTGTGTCTCAATAAACAGAAGCTGAGCAGAGTGGCTGCAAAGCCCTGTAAGAACTGCATTTCAATAAAGTATAAATAAATAAATAACAATTAGTAGCTTAAAACTTAGTAGCTCAGTTTCTTAGGAACAGAAACTTCTTGCAATAGAAGAACTAATGACATTCAATCTGGGGAACATGGCCCTAATAGAATGAGAAGAGGTTCAAAATTAGACATTGTTGGAAATGCTTCCTAACTAGGGGAAGCTAAACATACTACTTAAATTTGATATCCACAGAACATGAAGTTACAAATGGCTATTTTGCAGAACTTCTATGAATGGTAAAGAAAATATGGTAATTCCTGACAACAGCAGATACTTAAATACATGTTTGATTAGTGAAGATATTACCTCCAAGGTGTTTCTTCCCCACAACTCCCTTTTTTTTGGTGGGACTAGGGATTGAACTCAGCACTTCACACTTGCAAAGAAAGTGCTCTACTGCTGAGCCACACCTCCAGTCCATTTCACTCTGGTTATTTTGGAGATAGGGTCTTATGAACTGTTTGTCCAGTGTGGCCTCAAACTTTGATCCTCCCAATCTTCAACCTTCCAAGTAGCTAGGATTATAGGGGTGCGCTACCACCACCAAGTTCCAAGGTATATTTCTTACTGTTATTTGCCACCTAGTACCCTTTGAGAACTACTATTGTAGTGTATGATAGTATATTTAAACTGAGGGTGATAAAAGAATTTCAAAAATTCAAAACTGGACAACCATTTTTTTTTTTCCTTTATTGAGACAGGGTCTCACTACATAGCTCAAATGGTCGATTCTCCTCCTACAGCCTCCCAAGTTCTGGGACTACAGGCGTGTTGTATGCATGAGTAAAGTAGGGAAGGATCCAGTAAGGAAAAGTGACCTGAGTGTTCAGATCTTTCCTATTTCCAGTGTTCCTGCCATTGACACACACAATCCCAGGAAGAACTACGGTAAGCACTGAACTATCAAAGTTTACTTGGCTTGAACTAAAGAGGCCTCAAGTAACAGCTGGATTATAACAATATGTGAATTTTAAAATGTTTAACCTTTGTTGAGGTCAAGTTCTTCATCATCATCCTCCTTCTTATGTTTTTCTTCTGTTCCTTCAGTCTTTTCAGTTGATACCCACTGTATTTCTCCACTGGTCTCTTGCCACTCTCCACTCTTATCATGCTGAGTGGTGGGAGCATCTTTGATCAACTCATCGGTTTTACTTTCTGCCAACTGGGCTGCTCGCTCTCGCTCAAGGAATAACTGATGAAAATTATTTTTGAAGATTTAAAAGACAATTCAACCAACATATATATAACTCAATATATTGCTTTAAATAAGAGGGTTACCTAGTAAAAAGGGTGAGTTTAAGTAAAAGCATTTGCTCTACAGCCTACTGAAAGCAGAAATGAAAATGTAAATGCTGTTGGGATTCATTCAAGTAACCTATTAATGGCTCAGGTAGTGTTTCCAAGAAAGAAAGTCTCAGTAATTGCCCTTAATTTGAATAATACTGCCTAGAAACTCAAGAAATAAACTACCATATTTAATTTGAGAACAAATTTTTGGGCAGGGTGCCAGTGGCTCATGCCTGTAATCCTAGCTGCTCAGGCAGACATCAGGAGCATTGCAGTTCAATGTTAGCCAAGGCAAATAGCTCACAATTTTGAAAATAATCAACACAAAAAAGAGCTGGTGGAGTGGCTCACGTGGTAGAGCACTGCCTGCCTAGCAAGCATGAGGCCCTGAGTTGAAAGTCCAGTACCACTTAAAAAAAAAAGGCTGGGACTAGAAAGGTTGGAAAAACTCTTGTATTATCAATCAGACTAGGGAATACTACTCAACAATAAATAGGAATGACCTACTGATATGTGCAATAACCTGGATAAATCTCAAATGCATGTGCTTATTGAAAAAAATTCAATTTCAAAAGGTTACATACTGTAGGATTCCATTCATAATGCTTCTCAAGAAGCCTAATCTCAAAACATATGGAGGTAGATTTAACAGATTACTGGTAGCTAGGAGACAGGAAGAATGAGTGGGTTTGGAGGTGGGCAGCACAAGCAAATTCTTCTGTGATGATGGTTCTGTACCTTAAAATAATGAGGAGTATATGAATCTATACATGAGATAAAATTATACATAGTATCTCACACACATGCACAAATGACAACAATGGAGAAACTGAGTAAGGTATGAAGTCCACTTAAAAGAATGTATCAATATTAATTTCCTTATTTTGAGACTGCACTTAGTACTATTTTTAGAATTTCCCATGAGCCTATAAACATTTGCAAATGTAAAATTTTTTAAAACTACGAATCACACAGGAAGAAAATGCTTTTGGCAGTTAAATGAATCCCTTAAATAATAACTGAAGACCCAAAACAGTTTACTACTGTCAATTACTGTTAGTAATTACTACTACTGCTTACTATTACTGTTATTGGTAAGTAACAAGATCACTTTTCACTGGTTTTATAAATTTGTTTTAAATAACCACAAAGTTAAAATTTCCTTAGAAGAAGTCCTGTGGATGATTTCTTATCTGTGCTCAACACTCAACAACACATAATGAAGAATAAGATAGGATGATGGAAAATATGACTTAAAACAACTCAAAGAACCTGTCTCAACCCAGTATTCCCATGCTCAGCCACTCTGCCACTTTCCAGACTAAGTTAGTTAACTTCTTCTGGGGACGGTAGGACCCCAAACAGAGTCCTGAACACAAATGAAACCTATAAATTCTGGAAGGCGTGAAATGAAGGGGATAGGGTGGGACTATATTGCAAATTTGAGATCAATAATCTACTTGATTCGTAAAACAAATGTGCCTTATCTCTGCTTTTTAATAACTGCTCAAAGAGTGATTAAAATAGTTGAGAAAAGCCAGCAGAAAAAATTAAGAGCACATTTTAAACCACTGTATTTCTTACTGATCTATAGAGAAATTGCACAGTATTTTTAATTGATTAAGAATTCTGGTTTAAAATAAACCTTCATCCTGTCAACTACATAAATTTAATTGGTCAAATCTTAAAAGACATTCCATCTCTACCCTAGCAAAGACATGCACCACAAGTTCTAAACAAACAAAAAAGAAAATAAAGGAAGTAAAAAAAGGAAGTGCTTACCTGCACTAAAGCCTGAACAGCATGAACTTGTCCAGCTATCCTTAAATTATCATCTCCTTCTCCACTACAGAAGGAAGAATCAAAAGAACAGGATGTTTCCATGTTGACAAGACAGTGTCGATTCCGAGCACTGTACTCCACCAGATTTATCAGGAGGCCCAAGCCCTATAAAATTTTTAAAAGATGCACATTATCATAAATGGGAACATAAAAGAAATGAATAGAGCATACATAATTTTTATTGGCAGGTAAGAATAGTTTTTCCACCTGCAAAATAGTTAAAAAACAGTATACAAGATACTGGTCTTCCTAAAGAATGATTCCTTTAGCTTTTAATTATTATTTTGTTTATACACTTTATTTTTACAAAGGGTATTCTGTAAGAAAAGAAAAAAATATAAGAAGTATGTTCCTAAGAAATTCACCCAAACAAGTCAATAATTTTTCTAATTCTTAAACCCAGATTTAGATGAAGTTTGCATCATCAAACTAGATAAATACTCATTTTTGAAGGTCACTTCAACTCACCAGCACTCGAATATCAAATCTCTGCTCCTGAGGTAGGTACTTTGGAACCTGAAGCACACAGTTCATCGCTGTGCCAATGAGGCCATCCTGTTCTCCTGTTTTGGTACTGCCCCACTCTGAGATAGAGTAAAACAGGAAAAGCATTACTAATTCTTCCTGATGACAATGCACCATTTTTATAAAATGAGTATTTAGAATTGTTCAACTCTTCTTTCATTGAAATACATATTTCTAGGCCAGCCTACTAGACTAGCTCTGAGTATCAACTCCTAAAAGTAGTTTATGTCTATAGGAATAAATCAATTAATTACATTATGGAAAATTGTAAAAATCACTACATAAGAAAAGGAGAAACAAAGGGGAATGACTTGTTTCTTTGCATAACATACAAGTTTTCAATGGAAATACTACTCACCATTATCATTAGTTAAATTGAGCAGTACCCCAATGATGGCCCGCATGCAGTCCTCCACTGCTTTACCCACGTGGTTAGTTACATTCAGATGAGGCAAAGGCTTACTGTCAGCTATGCATATGCTGTTCTCAGCACGGTTATACTGCTGAATCAGTTCTTCACAATGCTGTAACGCTCTTAAAGAGAAAATAAAATGTGATTATGGTAAATAATAAGTTCCATGACAAATTTTTATTTAAGGGACCCTGGAGGTTAGAATGTTTTAAATGTCCAATTATGTACCAAGTATGCCTGATATCTCACTAGGTGTTAAATCTCCTTTTACTTTTAGAAAACTTTTTTTTTTTTAATTGTTGTGCTGGGTGTGGGTACACTGTAGCATTTACAAAGGTTCTTTCTTACAATGTATCAAATATAATCATACTTGAATTCCCCCTTTATTTTTAGAAAACTTGGTTAATTTAAAATTTTTCTGGGAAAGTTAAAATCTCAAGCTACTTGGGAAATGGAGATTGAGAGTAGTTCAGTTCAAGGCCAACCAAGGCAAAAAGTTATTGAAACTCCCATCTCAACAAAACAAGCTGGGTTAGGTGGTGCACATCTGTAATCCCACATATTTGGGGGTGCATAGATAGGAAAATCACAGTCTGAGGCCACTGTAGGCAGAAATATGAAACCTTATCCAAAAAATGAGTAAAGCAAAAAATGGCACAAGTGGTAGAGTGCCTACTCAGTAAACTCAAGGCCCTGAGTTCAAGCCACTACCACCAAAACAAAAAACAAACAACTCTGGACACAGTGGTGCATGTCTGTTAAGTCCATCTACTGGGGAGGATGAGTCAGAAGGACTGCCGAGCAAGAGTAAGATCCTGTCTCAAAAGATAAATAAAAAATCAGAAACATATTTAAACTATCTACAGGAGTTGTCCTCCATTTTTACAGATCTCTCAAACACAAAAGATCACTAACTAAATGCAGCCTGGCGGAGTGGTTCAAGTGGTAGAGCGCATCTGCTTTGCAAGCGTGAGGCCAAGTTTAAACTCCAGTACTTCTTGATCTCATTTAGATGCTTTTCATTTAGAAAGCAAACTCTTAGTAAACAGAGAATGTTACATATATTAATATTACACAATAAATCACAGTAAAAATGGGTATTAACTACTTGATTGCATTTGAGAAAATCATTAGTTTTTTAATTTGAGGTCAAACTGACATTTCTTTTGGCAGTCACATCAGGACATGAGCTACAACCCAAGGATTCCCAAGACTCTACACAAAATAACAAGGAAATAGAATCCTTAAACAGGTATAGTATTCCTGAGGACTCTTTAAATGACTAAGTGTACTGATTTTTTAAATATTTAGTAAGAGATCAAGTAAGCTGACTTTAAGTCAGTTGTATTCTTCATGAATTATACACTACATAAAAGTTTTCTGTGAAGAAAACTACACAGTATTTACAAGAAATGTTTACAGTAGGGTTGACCACACTATTCTGTCCATTTCTGGCTTCTCTTTCACTGAGGAAATCCTGTAAGTTTCCTATTATTTTACAACTCTTTGATTAGTAAGGTATTCCTCATGATGTCTAACCTAAAATAATTTGGTTTTCTGATGTTTGGGGATGATGGCAGAAAACCTTTGTAGTTACTGGTAATTAAACTATTGTGAGGTGTATTGAGCTAAATTGTGCTTTTGAAGGTAGGAGAGTTAGTACATGTTATTTAATCCTTCAGTATGACATGCATGTACTGAGGTGACTCTATTAGCCTAATTGTGACAAAGGTTGGGCAGGAGAATGTGGAATAGAAGGAGCCACATAAACATCTGGGAAGTCAGGTATAAAGAACAGAAGAAGAGGGCTATCATAGTTTTACTGAAAAGCTAAAAATGCCAGATAAGTGAGTACTCTTTCATAAACCTTCAATTCTAACCTCTACTGCTGTTTCTAAAACATTTTATTTGAATTTCCTAATCACAATAAAGAAGCTAAAATCTGTAATAATAAATACATCTTTTTTCAAGGCATTTGTCAGGGGATATGAAGTACACAAAAGAGACCATTTAAAAAATTGGGGGCGGGGAGGGGTTGAGGCTAGGATTTGAAATCAGGGCTTTGTACATGTAACACAGGTACTCTACTACTTGAGCCACACCTCCAATCTACTTTGCTCTGGTTATTTTGGAGATGGGCTCTCATGAACTATTTGCCCTTGCTAGTCTTGAACTAAGATCCTCAAGATCTCAGGCCCTCAAGTAGATAGGATTATAGGTATTAACCCCTGTTGCCTGGCTAACATATACAATTTTTGTCAATTAAAGAAATCAGAAATGATTTAACTCTCAAGAATACTCCTTGTTAAGGAACGGTGAACAGATGGTAATAAACAACTGGAGTCTTGTCATAAGAGCACTAAATGTAGTATAAAATTCACAAAAGCAAGGGTGGGGGGGAGGAAGAACAACGGAGGGAGTGAATCTAATTAAGATATACTATATGTAAATATCACAATGTATTCCCCAAACAACTATTATATGCTAACAAAAAAATAAAAATACATAAATAAAATTTACAAAAACAAGGCAAAAAGAGATGCAGGTGATATAACACTTAGATTTGCCTCAAAATAACACAGGATGGGGGAAAGATGAGGTTATGGATGGAAACAAGACTGGTTCTGATCAGTAATTATTCAAATAATGTGTGCAATAGAATTTATCATACTATTTTCCACATTTTTGTCTAAGTTTGAATTTCTCTAAAATAAGAGGTTAAAACATAAATTGGAGTCAGACTGCAGTGGCCTTGGTCATATTAACCTAAGATGGTAAGGGATCACAGAGACTTAGAGTTTAAGATTATTTATTCAAAGCAGAGATCTGGAGATAGTTAAGTCCCTGTAGTATTATGCTGGCTAGGCTAAAGGCCAGAGAACTAGGGCAGAGAGATAAAAAAAAAAAAATTAGGACAGAGATATCAAGAGCTGCTGAGTAAGACAGAATCAGGATTGGAGACATGCATAAACTGAGGTGACTCTATTAGCCTAGTTGTGACAAAGGTTGGGCAGGAGAATGTGGAACAGAAAGAGCCACATAAACATCTGGGAAATCAGGTATAAAGGGCAGAAGAAGAGGGCTAGAAAAGTCCACGTAGAGTGAGAGAAAATATTTACTATATACCAAGAAGCGTTCTACTATAATTCTAATTCAACTCATTTTTATGTATTATACATGAGGTACTTTAAAATCTGTTTTATATATACATATATTACTTATAAACACATACATTTAAAAAGCATATACATATCAACACACACGTTTTATTGTAACCACCACCTCAGGTGGACAGATACTTACCTTCCTTGTAAGGAACTTGAGGCAGTTAAGTGACTCGTTAAGGTTACACAGCTAAATTACAAAGTTGGAATCCACACCACAGCATTCAGGCTCCAGAATCTTTACATCTAACTTTTTCTCTATAATATACTCTGATTCACAAAACTCAAGAGTCAGAGGACTTTATGGAAGAAGGTATACTTTACATCTCTGTGGTCAACCCAAGTGTTTTAAATAAATAATACATGATAGTTTTATAAAAACTTACTTAGCTGATGAAATAATGAGTTGTGAATCTTTATATGCTATCAAGTAGCTTTGATTCTCTGGATTATGCACTGTTACCTAAAAAAGGAAGAAAGTGAAATGATTGTGGCAATCTGTAACTTTTCACTTATTCAATAACACCACACACTCTTCCTGATGCTTTAAAAGACACAAAGATGAGGAAGAAATAGCCCCATCATCTAAGGAAATAACTCCAAAACCCACAGGCTCCAGATTTTAAAAAACAGAGCTATTGATTTATTATAAAATGAATCAATTCACAATTACTCATTCATAATTAATCTATTCTTTACTATATATTCACTATAATCAATTGCTAAGTGAGTATCAGAAGTCTCCAACTTACACACTGATAGTTTAAAATTCGTAACTATATTCATTTCGAATATTTTTAAAGAAGTATCATGTTATCTAATGTACAAGAAGCACTCTAGAAGAGAAAAGGAACAATTTCAACTTCATCTGTCTCAAAATCTCCTTTGGATGGTTTTGTAAGTACCTAGCTAATGAAATCTAATCAACAATTATGCACCTGAAATTGACCAGCAGTAAAATTTTAATCTATACCACACTAGGTTAAGTTATTCATAAAAACCAAAGGACAAAAAATACTACAGTTCAAGATTATCAGTTTCCAAAGCCCAAATATTGTTAAGTTGTGCCTACAATCTGTCTCATAAAAGGTAAATTAAAAAACCCACAAAATAAACAACAAGCCTGACTGTTTAACTCTCGTTTTCTGAAAACAAGTTAATGTACTTAAGCAGAATTTCACATTAAGGAAGAGATGATTATGTTTGGCACACTGCATACTAGGTTTCACTTAGCAGTAGTACAAGCATTTCTTTCTTTTCTTTTTCTCATTTAGACAGTTCTACTATGTAGCTCAGGCTGACCCGAAACTCATGTTCCTCCTGCCTCAGTCTCCCAAATGCTGGGATTACAGACAAATGTCTCCATACCTGGCAATACATACATAATCTTAAAATAATAAGCTGCTCATTAAATTGTTCAGTAATAACTGATTGCTCAAAGAATACTAGCACTGCTAATTTGGATTAACAAAGTTGAAACTCAAAGGGCATGTAAAATATTTGGTAGTCACAAACATGCAATCACAATTAAAAGTGAGTAATTTCCCCAAAATATTTGTCCATACTTACACTTTCTAAAACTCGTAAACATCTCTCTGCTCCCCATAACGAGGCTACTAGTTTCTCTTCATCCTCATCTCTACTTAAATGATCCACACATTCTTTTACTAGGTGAAAAGAAATGTATGTAAGTTAGTATTTATCACTTCAACACTTCCAGTAAGTCATATATATACATGCTATGAGTGTTCTTGAACTCTTCTGAACATTATTTATTCTGTTTGATACTGTGAGATTTTGAAATCTATGACATCCCATATTTCCATAGTCCCCCATAAATATTAAATACTAATGGCCTCTATTGTAAAGTTAGAGATTTACAGTCTACTGCTAAAAGACCTTTTCAAATTGGTAACATTTTCAAATACATAAGTATTTTCTTCAGGCTTCAAATAATACATAGAAACATTATGTATGTGTGCATCCATACCTTTATCTACAATATGATCCAGACCACCCAAAAGCCGAAGTTCTTCTTTAAACCAGTCTCCTGCTCGTTTAGAAGTAAGGGACAGCAATGTCTCCATAGCTAAATGACCAGTCTGAAAATCAGAAGCACCATTAAAGAACATTGACATTTAGCAGTAATTTTAGAAACTGATTTTTCTTTACAAAAATTCATTGCATGCTACCAGTACATAGGCTTTTATTTTTTAATGGAACAGTAATTGCTTTTATAAGTAAGGCTGAATTAACTTCTAATTTTATCAGAACAGTTTACACTGAAGAAATTTTTTTTTAACTACATGGCTTGCTTTCATAGGAAAAACTTATTAAAAGTCTATTTTTATCAGTTCAGTATGTACTGGTACATACTCGAGTATGTACCAGGTTCAAGTGTGGGTTATTGAATCAAAGCACTTTTTTTTTTTAAACTGTAAATCAATATACTGCGGGAGGGAGAAAAAGAATGATGGAGGGGGTGAATTCAACTGTGATATATTGTAAAAATTTTGGTAAATGTCACAGTGTACCCCCAGTACAATAATAGTGAAAAATAAATTTTTTAAAAAATCAGTATATTGGATTAATTTACCACAAAGGACGTTAACAAGTAACACTGCTAGGAGAAAGGTATGGTAGTGGCAGTTGCCTGAATGTTCAAAAATCAAAGGTTATCACTTTAAACAGCCTTAGGCTACAGGGGGGAACTTACTGCTTTGGTGTATACTTTTCTGACAACAATGAACTTGAGCATTTTTTCATATATTTATTAGTTAACCTTCTATCTTCTACTTTGAGTCCCCTGTTTATCATTTCTTATATTCCTGCAAGGCTCCTTCTCTTTTCTTACCTATTCTGACTACAAATCCTTTATTTAAGTGCTGCAGACTGGGGTTAGCAGGGTAGATATTCCTTATGTGGTCACAAACCTAATGTTAACCACTAGAGGGAGCACCAATATGAACCATATTTACAATTAGGTTAACATTTTTCTCTTGGATTTTAACTATTGCTTTTCCCTTTTTAAAGCATGCAGCTACTTCCCAATAAAGAGCAATCTGGTTCTTGATATAATAAATGAACTTTCATAACAGAAGAAATGCCTTAATTGGCAAACACTGAAAAGACCTCATTTTCTTCCCTAAGCTTATCTTTCAAACGATACAAATCTACATACTGGCATAATTTATATTTGGAACTGAATACAAATTAGATTATTTTAAAATACAAACAACAGATCTTACCAGTGAAAAATCTTAGTATTACAAATTTAGAAGTGGGATCTTGAATATTTTAATATTTTTTCTTTAAAAACAAAGTTTTTTCCAAGGTACTACAAAACATATTCAATTATGCTCATTTCTCATTCTAGGTCTCTCAAAGAGTAATTTAATGCTAAATTTAATTAGGTTCAGGTATATTAGCTCATGAGTCACAGCAGTGAAGCTGAAGCCTAACGAGGCATTCTTTGTTTAGGAAGAAAGCACTTAGTAATTTAATAATAATATAGTAAAAACTCCTTTAAGTTCTATGCTTAAAAGGAGCTTTAGTATGCATTTCTAATGTCACAAAAAGAATTCTTCCATGTTTTAGGCTATATCCAGCATATTATAAACTATGTCTTAAAATAGTCTATTATTTTAAGTATTTTTTACTTAAAAACTGAAACTATCCTACAAATCTTTAATCAGAATACTATTCTGTAACTGTTAACTCCCATGATCTGAATTATACTTAAAAACATTATTAATTAAAGTTACCTTTCCATAGCAGTACCAGTATTTCAATGGAGAAGGTAAGCCATAAATATAACAAACTAATGTGTAGGGGATATTCTTTGGAGAAAACTGTATAACTTAAAATAAGAGGAATTCTAGTGTAGTCAACTGTGCTCTGGTTTTAATTGTGAGTAACATACTATGTGTAGCAGTTTTTATATTGACATTTACCTTCCTAATAAATTCAACAGCATGGGACTAATTCACATTGAACAGATTTATCATCATTTTATTTAATAGTGAATGCCTGAACTGAACCTAAACGTTGAATGTTAATATGGAAGACAAAAGAAAAGTACATTCATTTAATTATGCAGCAAATAAAAATCATAAGCTTAAACTTACTCTCTCATAGCATTAAAAATTAGTTACTGGGAAAATGTTAACAGTAAATAAAAGTTACAAAGTCATTTTAAAGGTAGTATACAGGTGGTATGGTGACATGGAAAATCACTGGGCACAATAGCTATTTTGCCAGTGCTGGCAAGTACAAAGCACATGAATACACATGTGAGTTTTTACTCTCACCTTTTAAAGTTAGCTTGCTTTCCTGCCACCCTCTACCTTTTACCAGAATCTATTAGCAACTCTATCTTAATTAAATAGAGCAACAGCCCCAAGTTATATATGACTAGCGCAAAGCATTCTGTAAATTTTTTAGGCAAATGCTGCAGTCTTTAGTTAAGTAGGCTGTAGAAAAAATGTTTTATAGTTGAAAACCAAGTTACATAGCAAAAGTTTTTTTTTTTGTTTTCTAAAACCACAGGCCATTTTTTTTGAGGGGGGCTGGAATATTGGATTATTGAGTCTACAAGTCAAAGAGTCAGAAGAAAGCAGAACTACAACTGAGCAAAAGCAGCCCAGTCATCTTAAACGTGGGGATTGTGCTGAGTATTAGGGCAGCTACTGGTCATGACCCTATTATGTGGGGCATTGATCCAAGAAGGAAAAGTGCCTAGGAATCCTGCAGTTAGTAAAACAGATAGTCTAGAATAAGCCAATGTCTGCTAACTGAAAATGGCTCTTGCAAATCCTAATTTTTATTCCTGAAATTCACAAGAATGTAAGAATTCAAACTGTTAATAGCCAATGTACAGGGAAGGTGAGAGGGAGTTAAGAGAGAGGCGGAGGCACAGAGGGAGGAAAAAGGAGAAAGAAGAGGGAGAGGGAAGAGAAATCAAGAGAAAAAGATTGGACAAAATGCAACAGGAAATTTAGAGCTATTTACTAGTCCTCCTTCTCCCCTCAGCAACCCCAGTACCTGCAGCCTAAGTATGAATGAACTAGCTTAGGGAATTTAGGAAAGGAATGAATTATGTTTAGAGCTAAACCTTAGAAAAATTTGCTAAGTTGTAAGCCAACAATAAGAGAGGTTTAGTGCTTTGTCCAAAGTTACACAGTCACTGTGACAATCATAAACTTGCTAAAAGTGATTTTCATTTTATAATGGAAGGAAGGAAATAGCCCACCGTTATATTTTCTAGATCAAGATGCTTATTGTGTACAGTTTCACAGAGTCTTCGGATTTTTTCTTTAATTTTGTTCATGTCTTTTTCATTTAGTAGCTTAGCTGATGAAGCATCTTGTTCCAGTTCCAAAAGTCGGATCATTAGATCTAGGCTTGCTCTATCAAGATCCATGTTCAATCGATCTCTACTCAATATGTACATGAGGGCAGCTGTACAGAGGGACAGATTCTTCAACAAAAAAGAGAACACAACACAAAAATCCGTGTAAGCAACTACTGACAATCTCAGGAAGTAAGACCATTACTGACATCTGTTTACAAGTTAAAACTCCAAAAACTCATACTGGTGATTTTACTGGAGATCTTGAAAATGTCTGGTTCAAGATGGTCATGTAATCCCAACACTCGGGAAATTGAGGCAGAGGAATGTGAGGCTAGCCCTAGATTACAATGTAACTTTCAGGCTACCCTGGGCTATATAAAAAACACCCTGCCTCAAAATACAAAAAACAAAAGTTTCACTCAGTGGTCTCTCTACATATTCTATGGAAATATTTCTATTAACTAAATAAAGCCTTGATTCTTGCATATGCTAGGCAAATGCTCTACCACTGAGCTACATCCCCAGCCCCAAATTTTTCCTTTCCATGAACTTCCCCATATGAATGCCCCCAAACTGAAACAGTGTAAGTTGAATTACATACTTCTTTGGCCATTTTGTGCTAAATGGAGAGTTTATAGAACAGTTCTTCAGATTTATGTATATAAAATTCTATTATACCATACATTTTTATTCTTTGACATAATGACACAAATTCTAGTGCAAAAATCAGTAATGTAAATGTATTTCAAAATCTGCATCAAAAGAACACAATTTTTTCCCCCATGAAATACATACAGCTGAGTTTACATCAGTATATAAACCCAGCATGTTAGGGCTGGAGGCATGGTGCCAGTGGTAGAACGCCTGCCTCCCAAATGCAAAGCCCTGAGTTCAAACACCAGTACCACCAAAACGAAACAAACAAAAAAATTAAACCTAGGGTACTGAAATAAATATATAAAGAAGAATAAAAACAACAAACAAACAAAACCAGCCAGATGCAGTGGCACATGCCTATAACTCCAGCAGGACTTGGGAGTCTGAGGCAGGAAGATCCTGATTTTAGGCCAGCCTGAGCTTAAAAAAAGGATTAAAAAAAAAAAAAAAAAAACCAAAAAACAACCAAAATGTGCTTTTGGAGATCAGGTGTTTAGCATACTGTTTAAAAGTGGTATTACAACCTACAAATACTGGAGGTAATACATCTTAAATAAATGTTAATACAGTTAGCTTTTGGTATCCATGAGCTCTACATGCATGGATTCAACAACGATACATCAAAAATATTAGAGGGAAAAAACTGTATCTGAGTGGAGTGTGGTAGTTGTACACCTGTAATTCCGTACTGGGGAGGGTTGGGGCAGGAGAATCAAGTGTTTGAGGCCAGCCTGGGCTACCCAGCGGGACTATTTACATAGCATTTACATCGTATTAGGTGTTCTAAGTAATCTAGGGATGACAGCATGCCACAGTCCTGGAAGCAATCACTCACAGAAACCAAGGGATAACTGTAACAAAAATGTTTTAGGTTTAGTGTACTCTAACATTTAAGATAGTCCATATTTATTTCAATGTACAGAAACATAATTAACTAAAATACATAAATTTTGAATCCCTTGGAGGAGAGAAACTTCAGACATTTCATTGATTAAATTTTTATAAAGCAAATTATTTCTGGAAAGTAGGATGCCACACCATGGCATATTGGCCATGACGCCAAGAAAGCACAGTAATGTGTTAGTCTGCCCTTAACTACATAACAAAGCAAACTATTTCTTAGTTCTCATCTCTTCTCCTTCACAATTCTGTGTCAGCTACAATCTAGAAGTATACTCACTCAATGTTAAATGCATTACTTTTTGTTTCAAAAGAGTCTGTATTAGATTGTGTCATTCAATCTGTATCTGGAAATTTTCCTTGAATAGAAATATAGTAAGGCCATCTCAAAACCACTATTGATAATGTTTAGCAAAGAAGGTTGCTTTTTCTAACTTTTGATGATGTTAAATCTGACTTTATTATATATGCTTTATTGGTGAGAGAAAATGTGAATGACAATAAAAGTGAAGAATTTATTCCTTTCTACAATGCAGTTATCTTTCAGATTCAACACTAGACCAAATGTTTAAAAAAAAAAGTTTATTCTTAGTAAATCATATTTACAGAATGAAATATTCAGTATAGTAAGTTAACTATGAAAAACAAGCAATATTTTAATAGTATACATTCACAAATTAAGAAAAACAACAAAAACGTCATGAGAAAATAATCAAAGCATGGTATTGATCTATATACTCAGCAAATAACTCTATTATTAGGATACGTGCATATGAGTATTCAATGAAGGTATGTTTTAATAATCAAACGAACATAACCTTTCAATAATGCTTCAAAACTTCAGAAATTTTAAAATACCTGATGGTGCTGGGAATCATCCAATGTTTTAAAGACCATTGCAACCATTCCATGTGCTCTCAGGTGCATTCGAAAACTTGGCATGGCACATTTAGTAGCCAAGCTAATAACACTAGGAGAAAACAGACTACGGTAAGGTAACTAAAAATAGCAGTACAGTAATTTTTAGTTTGCATAAAACCAACACAAGCAAACAGAACAGAGGTAAAGGAGTTAAAGCATTGTCCATATAGATCACAATATTAAAACCACAGGGAAACCAAATTACTGAAAATACGCTGATGCCTAGTATGTGACTGGGCATACTGTATTTATTAAAGTAAATGATGATTGTCATTAGCATATTCCTTACATTTCTATTACCATTAAAACCACGAAAATTCTACCTCGCATAATACATGTAAAACTATAAATAATTCTATTTGATTGGATTTACTCCAACTAAAAAGTAAAGCTATTTAATCCATTACTACAGGAAAAAAGATCCAGATTACAACAGGCTTAAATTAATCTATCACTTGATCCTTCAAACTTGAGATGGAAAAAAAAACTTTAAAAAAATTCTATATCATACTATTTCTTCTTTTAAGCATTTAGAAACTAAAGCCTATACTATAGTAAAAAAGATAATCACACTTTAATATATCACTCACTATATACTATAAAATAAAAAATGTCTGGCTTTTTTGACAATAATCTACTCAGTCAAAACAAAATATGTGATAATACAGCATGCACAGAATTATAAAATGGGGCTGGCAGAGTGACTCAAGTGGTAGAGTGCCGCCTGCCCAGTAAGCCTGAGCCCTGAGTTCATACCCCAGTGTCACCAAAAAAAAAAAAAAATTATGAAATATAAAAGTGAGACCTTACCTAAGGCAACGTGTGTTTAGAGGCTGAGTACTCTTTAAGCCACTTAACAAGTACTCAATGTCATCAGTAAACTCTTGATTTTCACCAAATTCCACCACATCATTGAAGTGCTTCACGTGCTGAACAACAGTGTATAACTGCCAAGAAAAAATAAGTCCACCTCTTTTGTAACTATGAACTGGCACACTTAAATCTACAGACTCACTGTATTTTATACAAGAGTATACACAATAGTTCATTAAATGGCAATAAAAATATTTTTAAGACAATGGCACTAATAGGATAAGTTTGTGGTTCAAAACTGTAGTGTGGTATTTGCTCAAGACGTTAAAAAGTCTAAATGTTACATACAAAAATCTATCCACATGCAGTAAAACTGTATATGGCTGCTTACTTCTTTGTCTTCTTTTCTGCATTTCAGGGCAGTAACTATATCTTGGTAGGGCTGAGTAGGTATTGTCACAGTTTTTATCACTTTGAGTGGTGGTGCAGGAGCCTTAAAAACTCCATCATCTTTTTGATTTGGTTCCTTTGAAGACAGCCTCACCTATTAATAAAGGTATTAAATTAGTTGTTCTAAATATATATGTATATATTTAAAAAGTAACATCTCATCTATCTGACAAATTTAGTTTTTAAAAGTGTTTTTTTTTTGAGGAGGGAGGCCGCTGAAAGGTCCTAACGGGTAACTTAAGATCTTTAACATATATATGTTTTACACACAAAAGAACCACTCAGGAATTGCTTCTGGTCTTTTTAGTCCCTATATTTCACTAACTTGTTATTTATCTCCAGGACCACTGATACAACAAAGAACCACAAGTGCATGCATGAGCAGCATTGCTAAGCAGCTAAGGGATGGGACAGAAAAACCACAACAGACAGACAAAGAAATCCACAGGAGACTGAAGTAGTTTAGGAGAGAAACACTGTAACAAGAACATGGTATATATCAGCATAGAATGTAATTACTAGTATACATCAATGATGGCTTTATACTATCTACCAAAAGGAGTTTTAGTATAATCAATTTAAGATAGGAAAGTAGACACTGTGTTTCATCACCAGGACTGGTTATAAGCACTCGTGTGGCATGCAGGAGGCACTGGGTTAGAAGAACTACCTCTATTCCAGTATTTTTGTTGTTGTAAAGAACTCATTCTTTTCATCACCCCAGATGACCAAAGTTTTTTTTTTTAATCAACCTAGTAGCTTTCATGTACGATAGTACCAATCCTTTCTGAACAATTTGAAATGCATTTTTTTTATTGTTGTTTGGTTTTTGTTTTGGTTTGGCTTTTTGAGAAGGGGTCTCACAATGTATCCCAGGGTTGGCCTCAAACTTGCTATGTATCCCAGACTGGTCTTGAACTTATGATCCTCCTGAGTGCTGAAGTTAAGATCTTTTTTTTTTTTCCCACCTGTGTTTTGAATTAAAAAGTATCCCTGGAATGTAGGGATACATTCTCCTCTGAAAAGCAAATTAAGCCACTTTGAGGTCGTGTAGGATGTAATTTATAAGATAGCTCTAAATGATCAATACTAACTTCAAATAAGGAATAATTTGTTCTTAAACTCTAAACACTAAAACTTCTATGACATGTAGATCGTTTTTTATTTACTTAATTAATTCATTTATTTTTGAGATTAGGTCTCACTATGTAGCCCAGGCTAGCCTGGAACGCAGGAACTTCCTGCAAAAAGCCTTATTTTTTAAAGGCTTTCATCATAGGCACAGTTAGTTCTGCTATCTATTTCACAATCCTCACTTTTTCAATGAACTAAACTAAAACTACTAAACTTTAGTGAGGAAGACCAAAGTAAATAAATAGTAAAGTCAAAGATTTATAAATGAATTAAGTTAGCTACTACTTAACTAATATAAAACTTATTAAAGAGTACAAAATATAAAAGTACAATTCACTTACTGTGACACTCTGAGGTTTCACTACTGGTGGCCCTGGAAGTTCTTCTGAGTCTGGATGGTTCCAGTGCCTGGCATTATATACAGCTTTTGTAGGTGACTAGAAAAATAAGAAAAAGATCAACTGCTTCTATCTTACTTTGCATCCTTTGTAAAAGCATCTCAGTAAATAAAAAAAATAATTTAAACACATAAACATCCTAGTCAGAGCAGGACAGATGCTATTCCTACACCTATGGCATGGGATTCTGGTCACAAAATTGTCACCAACCAAGAGAAGAAAGCACTTGAACAGAAACCTCTCACAAGGCTTATACTTACTTTGTAATCAATTTATGTAATACAGAATGTTCTTTGGCAGAACTTTACCCCTCATATTGCTAACTTATGCTCCACAGTTTTCCAACAACAGGAATCAGGCAGCTTATGACAGATAATAGAGGACCATGTTCATTTAAATGAAACCACTGGGGCCAGAAGTATACATCAATTAAGTTTTCAAATTTTATAAAGGTAAATACAGTGTATATACCTTACAAAACACAGTGGGGTCTAAAGGATTATCATGCAGTAACATTCATGAATTCTGCAGCAAAATGCCTAAATGTGTACATTAAAGTAGAATAAAGATGTAATTTGCCATGCATTAATTCAAGGTTACTGTGCTAACAAATCATTTAAACATAAAAAAACAAAAAAGAAACCACTTTCAGTTTTAACACTGAATTTCAGAACTGTGAATAAATAACTTTGCACCAACAAAATGAAATCCATGGGATCAAATCTGTGTAAAATGAATAAAACCCTCATTTCCAAAAAAAAAAAAAAATTATTAAGCAAAGACTTAAAAGTGATATGAAATTATGTCCTGGACTGGAGGCATGGCTGGAATATGTTAGCATATTCCAGGAATATTAATCTTAAACATTCTATATTGTTAAAAGGGGTGTCTGAGTTCAATCCCGAGTATTGACCAAAGACAACAACAAAGTATGTCCTTTAAATTTCAAATAAATCTCTGATCTGATATTCATATTTTTCAGTAATATACACAAAACATAAGAGAACAAGTAGAAAAATCTATTTCAAGATTGGGGATGTGTTTCAAGTGGTAGAGCTCCCCTGCTTAGCAAATCCAAGGCCTAAGTTTAAACCCCGTACCACTTAAAAGATAAAGAAGATAAACCAAAACTCCTCATTCCTATTACTCAACTATCCCAGGTTTGCATAAAGTGATGACTTATTAGTAATCTAAACAATTTATGCACTCATGCAATGATCTAATCAGGTTTTTTGAGGCTCAGCTGCATAAAGTTCAACATACACTCTAAAACCTAGCCTTCACATTCCTGTTTATGGGGGGGAGCTTGCTAGGCAGGTGGTCTACTCCTTGATCATGCCCCAATTCTTTTTGCTTTAGTTATTTTTCAGGTATGGTCTCTTTTACCAGGACCATGATCCTCCTAATTTGAGTCTCCAGAGTAGCTGGAATTATGGAAGTGAGCCACTGCACCTCGCCCATGTTTTGCCATTTTGATGCTAATAAGCAATCTAAAGGAAATTAAATCCAATTAGAACTTTCCTTGACTTTTACCTCAAAGTTTTAACAAGGTTACAGGTCTTGGGGAGGAGAAGCCAACGTGACCAAATAATTCACAAGATCCTATCTTGAAAAAAACCCACCACAAAAAAAGAGCTGACAGAGTGGCTCAAAGTATAGGATCCAATTAGAATCTGAGTTCAAGTCCTAGCAACACACGCGCGCGCACACACACACACACACACACACACACACACACACACCCCCAGAAGAAATAAAGAAATCCTTCCTGAAAAGCTAGTAAGAAATGATAATGCTGTTCTCCATTAAGCTGGCTCCTAAAAGTGGAAAAAAAAAATATTGACTAACCATTTTTATGCCATACGATTTTTTTTTTTGAAGGGACCAATTTTATTTATGAGTTTTAAAGAAGACCATGTACTGAGGACAACAACAGTAAGCTGATTAGAATTCATCCAGGCTTATCCACAAAGATTTCATGAAACAGAAATGTACTCTCCCCAGTTATTCAATCAGCAAAGAGTACAATTAAATGAACTCTGAAGAAGTGCTGCACTACATAACTGTGTGCCTAGAAGCAACTCAAAAAGAGGAAAAAACCAACCTGGATTTTTTTTTCTTCAGAAAAATTTTAAAGAATTTTTATAAAAGATGGGTGGTGAAAGTAGAGAAGGTTATGAAGTAAGTTTTACAAAGATTAGAGATCATCCAGCTCTTTAAAAACTTCCTTTTAAGCATAGTATTACATGTAACCTTTAATTGTCCCAAACTAAAAAAAGAACCTCACATGTAGAAATATTCAGAGTATTAAATTATGTAAGACAACACTACAGAAACGCTGAAAGTATCTACCATATCTGTAGTCCTAACTACACATTGTATTATATAAGAGATAAGATTGTGTAGAGAATCTCATCCACAGCTAAAAGGAAGCAACAGAGCTGGAAGAACTTTCTTCTCTACCTGATTCAATGAAGTTCTACAAGCAGAAATCCCTTTTAAAGAGACAGCTTATATTTTTGTAAGAAATTGTCAACTCCTGTCTATGTGAAAAACAATGACTATTACACTTAGTTGTAAGTAAGCATAACATCAAAAGTTTAACTGGTGACAAGTTTCCTAAGAGCATATCACTCCCACCTTACTGCATTACCTGGAAATACCATAATTTGGGAATAAACTCTTAAAAAGTCCATGTAACAAAGCATAAAATTCAGTACTTAGCACTTTGGGAGAACTAATGTAACTCAGCCTATAATTCAACAGCTAAAAAGATATTAGAAGTCCAGCTCTAGAGGTGCGAGTGGCTTACACATCTAATCCTAGTGATCAAAGTTTGAGGTCAGCCTGAACAAATAGTTCAAGAGACTCCATTCCAAAACAACTAGAGTTGAAAACAGAACAAAAGAAACAACAACAACAACAACAAAATATATAACCAGAGCAAAATGGACTGGAGGTATGGCTCAAGTGATGGAGTGCCTGCTTTGTAAGCCTGAAGCCCTGAGTTCAAACCCCATTCCCACCCAACCCCCAGAAAAGATACTAGATTGAGCCATGATCGTTATCAACTAAAATAAGCAGTGGTTCTTTCGAATCAAAAATACCACTGAAGGAGCAGAGGTGCAGCTCAGTGGTACAGTGCTGCCAGGCCCTGGGTTTAATCCCTGGCAACACACACACAGCATACATTTTAAAAGATAACATGTCTTAAGAGAGAACATCCACTTTCCGCCTTCAGTTTCCTTTAAATGTATGTTTGCCAAAATTTCAGTATTTCTTCATTTTGCTTGAGTTAGGCATGTGACTAAGTTCTAGTTAATGATGATGTGTAACAGATGTGAGGTACACCTTCTGTTCTGTCCTGGAGATGGTTCATTGCCTCACTGTCTTGTACTACTTAGTACTCCAGAAATGATAGATCACCACCACAGAGAGAGCCTGGTGCCTTGACACTGCAGCAATTTGAAAATGGACTAGAATAAACTGTCAGAACCTGGTAAGCCAAAGAAAAACAAACTACCTATTTAAAAGTAATTTAGAATTTTCTTTATAACAGCTGAATCAAAGTAAGACAAATCAATTTTGAAAACATTCAACTGAGATTAGAACCAAATAATAATGATAAATTGAACAGACAAAATTTTGCCAACACTGGGTATAGTTAAACTATGTATATACAACATTAAAAAGAAACAATTTAAGCCAGGCATAGTGGCTCAAGCCTGTAATCCTAGCTACTTGGGAGGATGAAATGGTGAGGATGGGGGGGTTTGTGGCCAGCCTAGGCAAAACTTTCATGAGATCACCCCATTCTCAACCAATAGCTGGGTATGGTGGTATGTACCAACCATCACAGCTACCTGAGAGGCTGAGACAGGAAAGCTCACAGTCCAAGACTGCCCAGGCAAAAAGTGAGACCTTATCTCAAAAATAATCAGAACAAAAAGGCTAATGCATGGCTCAAGTGGTAGAGTGTGCCTTCCTAGCAAGCACAAAGCCGAGTTCAAACCCCAGTACCACTAAAAAAAAAAAAAAAAAAAAAATTAAAGGATTTAAGTAATTAACATGTCAACATGGAAGAGAATGGAGAAGACAGAAACTAAAGAAAAAATACAATCTAAAACCAAGTTCTAGCCGGACACCGGTGGCTCACGGCTATAATCCTAGCTACTCAGGAGGCAGAGATCAGGAGGATCACGGTTCAAAGCCAGCCTGGGCAAATAGTTTCCAAGATCCTATCTCAAAAAACCCTTCACAAAAGTAGGACTGGGGGAGTGGCTCAAATAAGTACTCTGAGGAAGAGCTATATGACCAAGAGTCATTTCCAGGTGATACTACTAAATAAAAAAGTATTCAAGTTGCTAAGCCTATAGAAAATGAAAAGAGCAAAAGAGCACATACAGATGCTACTTTTAATAAGAAATAAAGGAGGTAAGAAAACCTACGATTGTGTTTATAAAAAGAAACAAAGAAAAAAAGGCCGCATAAAAGGGGTGGGACAGGCTAGAACAGATCTCAGGTGAAGTAAACCTTCAGTGGACTTACTTTTTTTTGTAGTTCTGACTTGTGAAAGCATGTTCATGTTGTGCATATTCAACAACAAAAAAAATTAAATCAGTAAAAATGGAAGGTGAAAACCCTAAATATAAAGCAAACCAGAAAAAGAAACTTACTCATACTTCAAATAAACAACAAACAAGCTGAAAGCAGGAAAGACTGACTGATCAAGAGCCAGACATACAGAATTAATCTGAGTAATTTATGAATATAGTATTTGATTTTATACCTTCAGGAAAAAATGGTTGTAAGGCAAGTTCAGCATTGCAAACAAACTGTAAACACCTTAAGATTTATTTATTGTAGTGAAATGGCGCAAAACAATTCTGCACCTAATTTAAGTGTTGCTACAGATACAAATAAATGTGTTACTGTTGCTCACTGTGAAGACAGAAGGCAAGAAAAAACTGTGAGGATGGACTGATATTGAAGACATCTTTATAAACTCATTTTTAGAACAGACAAGGGCATTCATGAAT